CTGTAACTTATCTGCGGCAAGAGCAAAGCTATTTTATGTGCGTTCCTATGAATGGAATGGATTTAATGTATGTAAAAAATGGCTTTGCTTTTAATCCTGATATGAAGGGTTTCTAATAAAGGCTCAAATGCACACTTCCCAACCTCTTTTACAATTTTGTTTTTCCAATTTGGAAAATTTATGTTCACTTCAGCCTTTGAAAACAACGTGTTCCTGGACAAGAGTTTCTTGTCCTTTTTTCCTTTTATGTTATTCCAGTTAGTTAATTGATTTGTTCTTTTGAGCAGATTCCAAAGATTGCTCAAATGGTGAAAGCAAGGGAACTGCTCACATTGTTGCTGGAGCTGTAGTAGGAGCATTTGGCCTAGCGTTTGTTATATTAGGAATCCTTTGGTGGAAAGGATACATGCCAGGCAAAAGGGGGAGAAAGAAAGGTGCTTCATCATATCGAAATGTGTCATTCTCAGATTCATTGGTTCCTACTGATAGTTTTCACAAGTATATGAAATGAAGGAAAAAAAATTAACAATTGCACTCTTTGATTGCTCAAGCAATGATGACTAACACTCATACTCTTCTGATGCCTCCTTGGACAGATAGAGAAGGACTTGATGGGCAGACAGGGACTTTTACCTTAAGACAATTAAAAGCTGCCACTAATGACTTCGATTCTGCTAACAAAATCGGAGAAGGTGGTTTTGGTCCTGTGTACAAGGTACTTTAGCTATCTGTACGTTGAATCTTTTCCATGTTCTTTTTAAGATTTCTCTGTTTTACGTTTAGATACATAATTCTGAACATGGGTTGGGATGCAGGGTCAATTGCCTGATGCTACAGTGATAGCCGTTAAGCAGCTTTCATCCAAGTCAAGGCAGGGAAATCGTGAATTCTTAAATGAGATGGGCATGATTTCTTGTTTCCAGCACCCAAATCTTGTGAAGCTTCATGGATGTTGTATTGATGGAGGTCAGCTATTGCTGGTCTATGAGTATATGGAAAACAATAACCTTGCACGAGCATTGTTTGGTGAGTATGATCTCAATTACTCAACTGTATAAGTGCGGAAACCAATTAAGATGTAACTGATCATGATCTAAAGTGTATAATTTGAGTTGGTTTTTATCCTTTTCTTTATTTATATTCTTGGATGGGTTATACTGATTTCTAGGTTTCTTCTTGCATACTCCATGACTACTACTTGCATTCCGTTTTGTTTTGGAATTTTCTTTCATACTCCCTGAGTACTACTTGCGTTCCGTTTTGTTTTTGAATTTCTTTCACACAATTTATTTATAGTTGAAAAGAAAGTCTGAGCGAGCAGTATTTTCTTTGACAAACTTTTGTAGGTCGAGAAAATCATCTTAAACTGGACTGGCCAACAAGTCGTAATATTTGTATTGGGATAGCAAGAGGACTAGCTTTTCTCCATGAAGAATCTGTACTTAAAATTGTTCACCGAGACATCAAAGCTACTAATGTGCTGCTTGATCGGGACTTGAACCCTAAAATATCCGACTTTGGATTAGCAAAGCTTGATGAAGAGGAGAAGACGCACATGAGCACCCGAGTAGCTGGGACCATGTCAGTTTCCACTTTCCATGTCCTTGTTTACACTGGCTTGTTGATATACTTGCAACAAAGTCTAGCTAAGTCGGTGATTTTTTTTTCTGGTTGAATAACAAGATTTTGGGATCTTGATTTGCAGAGGATACATGGCACCAGAATATGCATTATGGGGTCACCTGACGTACAAAGCAGATGTTTACAGTTTTGGAGTAGTGGCCTTGGAAATTATTAGTGGGAAGAACAACAATAATTATATCCCAAGTGATGACTGGGTTTGCCTTTTAGATTGGGTACTCTTACCATTCCCTCTTGCTCTTTGATCCATTTTTACATCCATCTTGTCACATCTGCTTGTTTTCATTGTTATAATTCAGTGAGAAACTACAACAAACATTTGCAGGCTTGTCATTTGCAACGAACTGGAAACTTGTTGGAGCTAGTTGATGAGAAGTTAGGGTCCGAGGTCGACCAAAAAGAAGCAGAGATCATGGTTAAAGTGGCTCTGATTTGTACAAATGCCTCTGCATCACTTAGGCCTAGCATGTCCGAGGTGGTGAGCATGCTTGAAGGACAAATCCCTGTTCCTGACGTGATCCCAGAACCAAGTACCTATAGAGAAGATTTGAGGTTTAAGGCCATGAGAGACCTCCACCGGCAGAGGCAAGATCATAGTTTAAGTATCAGTGGAACACAGCATTCAACTACGGTCCACACATTCGAGTCTACCTCTACGTCCGGCCTTGAATTCTCTGAAATCAATCCAGACTCAACACCCTCTTGACAGTTGTGGACATTCTGGTTCTATAGTAGCAAGTATGTTGTAGTTTGTAGTCTTCGGAAACGCATGTGCAGATTAGCTGCGTAAATATTTTCTTTTCTGTACATATTTTGTTCAATTTTCTATTGATATTTAGACACACACCATTGACCACTTTAGCTGACCACCTTATGTGGCAATTGATGTGTCATGTCAACTTAATTAATGAATGTAGCCATGTCAATTAAAAAACAAATTAAAAAACCTTAGCGTTCCTAATAAGTGGACTCATGGCAACATTCATTAATTGACATGGCATGACACATCAGTTGCCACATAAGGTGGTCAGCTAAGGTGGTCAATGTTGCGTGTCTAAATAGCATTACTCTTTTCTATTAGCTTTAGCTATATTCGTTCCATGTTTGTCTCTGCAAACAACAATAATAACAATATCAATATTATTCAATTGAAGATTCAATTTAATTATTCCACTCGTTTTCCTCACCAAAGACTGAATAATTTCTGCTGTAAATTTCTACAAATTAATAGAAACGTTGAAACTGTAACTGCAATATTTTGAATTTTATTTCAGCCGCCGGCCGCCGACAATATATTACATAAAGTAATAGACCAAGCTTCTTTATTTTTTTTAACTAACATTAAAACGTTGCGTCTGAAAACGTAGAGCTTTTTGGGTGGACAGAAATGTAGAGCTGTCGGTGCATTAACTGCACCAACCCCAATGAATTAATTATACGTAATATTGTCCCCCACATGAGAAAGCATGTGATGCAACATTTTAGGAGTAACTTACCCACTTTTGAATTAATTATACGTATAAATTATAATTCTCTAATACCCACTTTTGACCTTTAGAAAAACTTTTTGTATTTCTTTTCCTTTTAACCTACGATTTTCAGTCTCAAACGGTTATTTTTTGTTGGCGATCTTAGTCCAGAGGTTACACATATGCAACTTTATTTGCTTGCTTCTTGGTCTATCATAGTTGCTATGACTTTGTGTTTTTTTGTTGTTGCTTTTTTATCCGCAACCAAGAGGATCCTCAATGGCTTGGAAGTAGACAAATAAAATGCAATAGTGTTCGCTCCATTGAAGAGAAGCAAAGTAACGACACTCAAAATGTTTACTTACAAATGGATCTTCATATGAAGGTCAGGAGAACTCCAATTAAGAGCATCCGCAATGATGCTCTCTATTTCTTAGCTAAAATTTAGCTAAAAATATAAGAAAGCTATTTTAGGAGCTCTCTAAAAAATTTCAACTCCAACCATACTCCCTACTTTGGAGAGTCATAAATGCTATAACTCTTTTTTGATTGGTCCATCTCTATTAAAAAAAAAAATAGTTTGCATTAAATAAAGGTTTGAAATACTAATTAAATAAGGCAGGATTAAATTATAGGGAGCCACTAGAAGTCTTTTCTCTCTCCTCAGATTTAGGAGCTCCTAGAGGACTCTCTATTTTAGGAGGTGGATAGAGAGCATGGTTGGAGTTGCATTTTTACAATGCCTCCCTAAAATTTGTCTAAGGAGGTGGTTTAGGGAGCCTATTGCGGATGCTCTAAGAGGCCCCTGAAAATAATCAAGCATACACTACCATCTATGTTGGCAATCTCTTCCATTAGGAATATTTTTTTTTTGGGCGACTGCTAAATGATTAAGAATAAATTTTAATTAAAAGAACTTAAAGGGGTGTATTCAATTAGGATTTTAATAGATTATTTTGAAGCTTAAAAGTCCAGTGATATTCAATTACGTTTTTTAAGTAATGAATTAAAGTCCAGTAGTATTCAATCGGGAATCTTAAGTAATGAATTAAAATCTGGTGGTATTCAATTACTTACCAATTTTGAAGTATTTCATTAAATGTTGTATTGTATGAGACTTTTGAGTGGGTGATACAAATACAAAACCCCATAAAAAAATCTCACCCTCCTAGTCCTGATTCTCACGCTCTTTGATTTCACTGAAGGGTGGGGTACTCATTGCCTATAAATAGGTAATGGTTTGTGTGCATTGTAAGAAAAAGAGCGAGGATGAGATAAAGAGAAAGAAAGAGAAATTCCAAGAGAGTTTTCTTACCATTGTAGTGCATCAAGGATAAATGGCAACAGCAGTTAATTGTATTGCTCCAAAAACCATCATGAACCTTATTATGCTCATTTCGGTTCTCTGCTTATGCACGAAATCAGTCGAAGTTGAAGCACAAGCTTCGCGTCTGCCTGCTGCAGAAGGTAACTTACTCTT